TAGTGTGTGTGTGGCCAGCTCAGCCCACCAGGGGGCGGGGCTGGCTGGCATGTGGTGCTGGGGGATTGAACCGCGGTCCCTGTGCTTTGCTTAGCTTAGCTTGTTCTAAGAAGGTGCTTTAGACCACTGAGCCATCTCACCAGCCCAATCCATACACTCTTGCGTCCTGTCTCTCCTTAAGTATTCTACCCTAGCAGCAGGGCACTCCTCTCAGGTCTTTGGTAACAGTGACAAAAACAAGGCAGTAAGCCTCCAACTGACATCTGGTTGTTTCCTCTCATTCATCCATTTTGCACCTAGTCATTTGTTAATTAAGTCTGGCGGGCATCTGAGGGCACAGCCTGGGGTGCTCGACATACATTCCGATTCTACCAAGAGGGTCGCAGCAACCCTGCCCCCACCCCAAGCTCCCGGGCATTGACGTCACCGGCTGAGCACGAGGCGTCGCCCCCTGAGTAGTCACGCGCTTCGCCCCACCCGCTCCGGGAGTGATCCGCCTCCGCAGAGATCCTTCCGCTGCTGCGTGGAATTTTCCAAACGCTCTGCCGGCCCTTCTTTCGGGCCTCCGCGGGCGGCGGACTGGGGGAGGGGGCGCGACAGCCTCTGGTGACACTGTCCCCACACACCCTGCTGTACCCTCAGCTCCAGCTCGCTCTCCGCCCCCCACCGAGCCCCCCTTCCAGACGTCTTCCCACCGCGCACAGATACACCACAGAAAAATGAGGCTGCTCGCGGCCCCCGCCTCCCAAATATGACCTTGAGATTTGCCTTCAATCCCATAAAGCACTGGGGGAAAAGGACAGTTGGGGAGTACGAGGGAGTGGCCAACAAGGGAACTTTGAGCCGCCCTTATTTGGCTTCCTGGGCAAGGTCGGAAGGGACTTTTTTCCTAGTGGCAGTGGAGGAATCGCCCCGTTGAGCAATGCCCTGTGATGTGACCTGGGCCTATAAAAGCAAAAGTTGTGGCCCGTGTAGCAGGAGTTAGAGACAAGGAGGGCCGGTTCTCGGGTGTAGTGTTGGGGAGGAAGTGGCCAGTTTAGGGATTTAGAGATACCATGGGAGACTTTGTTGGATGGGGCAAGTGGGGTGGGGCTGCGAGAATGGGGGTGAGAGGAGTAGATATTGGAGGACTGCCATGGGAAGATTGTGCTCAAAGTGTCCGCAGCAACCCATGGCGAGGGCAGTTTTACTCCAGGCCAGGCTGCCCTGCTGCCTGTTGGGCAAGGGGACTCGGCCTCCAGGAGAAGGCTCTTAACAGGGCTAAGCTGATCCAGTGTCCTGGTTTATATGCAAAAAGGCAGAGTGAGATGGGAAGTTGAGTGTAGAGGAGAGAAAATAGAGGCAGGTGAAACTGGTTGGTTGATACCGTGGAAATAAATGATGGAGGAAGATGGGCAGTGAGTTCAGATCCAGGCACGCAGGGAGGGCCGATTTTAAACTTGTCAATACCAGCAGCTCCCCTTTTTTTCCAGACAAGGGTGTGAACCTGCCTGGGAATGAGGCCTGGTCTTGTGGATGGACTTAGCTTCGCGGGGCATATCGCTCTGGCCCAGGGTGGTAGGTAATGTGGACTCAGACTGGTGGAGCCCAGGTCTGGGTATGAGTGAGGCAAGTCCTCAATTGGAGGTGAGGGGTGGTCTGAGGAGCAGCTGCAAAGGCAAGGAGCTGTCCTCATGCGTGGCTGGTGTGGCACCTGTCTGCCGGCTGGGGCTGCTGAGGCAGGGTGCTTGTTGAGAGTAACATTGACAGACCTTTATTTTCCAGGTGACAATGGCCCCCCACTGGACTTTCCCTAGGTTTCGTGCTAATCTCTTCTGTGAGCTCACTCTACCCTTCCTCCTCCCTCTAACTCTGTGAGGTTGCCCCTTAAACGTGTCATCAGGTGGTAAGCCTGGGAAAGTGCCTGGAACTGCTGTTGGAGTTGGTATCTTTGGTAATGGTGGAGGAGGAAAGGCCCACTCCCCATTGGTGGGGTGGGTTTGGTGCTGCTTTTAGAAGGGTGGGGATTGAATGTGCACCCTTGGGTGGGCCTGCAGTGGTAGCTTTATTTAAAAGTCACATGCCTCATGGACGTGGTTTGTTACTGTAGTGTTCATCATGGCGAGCAAATGGCACCAGGAGAAATGGAGCCCCTGCCAGTGTGTGAGTCGTAGCAGTACAGGAGGGGAGACCCTGAAGGAAACAGCCTGATTAAATTGAAGCCTGCAGATTGAATTCCAGAGGCTTAGGAGGAGTTCTCCAGTGCCATATGTCCAGGCCTTGATCGGGAAGCCCTGTGTTTAGGCCTCCACTGAGTTTTCAGATGAGCTTATGGGGGGCAATCCAAAAATCCAGAGCAGATGCATCCGGCTTTTGAGGGGCCAGCAGCTATGAATGAATGCCTGTTCCAGGAGCACCATCCTATGGGCACGTTGAATGCCATCAGGCACCCTTCTTTTCCTGGGGATAGAGGTTTTCAGATGCTGCGACTTCTAAATAGAGCCTCAAGTCATTCTAGTTCTGTGCTGCGAACCTTGCTTCAAGAAGATTAAGCTGTAGAACATTAACGATGCCACAACGCAGAGTGATGCCTGGTAGATGGCGCTTGCAGATGGAGCCAGTGACCTGTCACCTCCCGCCTCCCTGCCCAAAAGCGCTGGCCAGAGGAATTCTTAGTGTGATGATGAAACTCTTGGGTGTTGGGGGAAGCTGTTAATTTTAAATGTCTTGTGTGTAGGGGATGTGTTGGCAAATTGTGGAGGGTGGGGACTTAAGTGTTGTGCTAGTCTGGGAGGGTACAAGCTGATCGTGCCAAGTGCTGGGTGTTGGAAGTGGTATATCTAGTTTGGACATCGTGATGGCATCGAAGATTGCTGAAAAGAATGAATGGTGGGCATACTGATAGTTATTTATGTGTTGGTGTTGGGACTTTATGATGCATACCAAGCTAGTGTCCACCACTAGTAGCTTCCCCTGGTCCAAATCTTGATTTCTTCTTACTGCATTTATTTAAACTTGATTTTTGACTAGATTTCAGAAAATGGGGTTCCAACTGGGAGGGTTCCTGAGGTGGGAGCTGGGATTGGTGGGGATGAAGACAAGGAGATGGGATGAGGGTGGTGGTCGAGTGGGGAGGGTGAGAGGTTGCGATGTGGCTGGAAGGAATTGGGAGTATGGGTGGACGGGGATTTAATAGGGTTTGCCAGTGAAGAAAATGCTAATTAATGATAAATTATTAATGCTGGTTAAAGTGTTGTTTGGCAGTAAAAATTACATGAAAATTTTGTAAAAGTGCTTAGAACTTGAAGATAAAGGAAAAAAGCAAAATTGTTTTGTTTTGCTGAAAACTGGAGAAAATTGAAAAGGTTTGCCTAAAATCCAGAATATTTAGTCATTTAAAAAATGACCTGAAAAAGAAAAATGATCTCAAACTTTAGGTGGTTTTTCTGAAGCTGTGAAAGTGTGGTTTGCTCCCCCCACCCCACCCCCAGGAGTAAAATGTGTTAGACTTCTAAATGCCTGCCTTGTGGGTTTTTAAAGCTTATGTGTGCCCTTGAGACTAGATGGGTTCTGCTGGGCTCATAATTCATAGCCACTGAGATTTTATGGTCACTGAAGCTTGTGACCATAGTATAAATGTGATGACTTCTGGAGCAATTCCGTATGCAAGTTTTATAAAACAGTCTTTCTGTGGTAGGTCCGTAATTGTAATAGCAAAGCTTCTGCTTGCTTGCTTGTTTTATCCTTTCCATTGGTAGTCTTTGTAACAAGAAGAGCCAAATAACTTTGTGGTCACTGAAATTGCTGTGATATTTAATAGCAAACAATCCTGTTACCTTGGGTAAGGTTACAGTGAATAATTGCATCTTTAGTTTGACTGTGGTATTTAAATGATTCAGAACTACACTGGGAGAAGCAGACGCCTTACTACACAGGCTCTGTAAAAATTTAGGAGCGTTTTAGTAATTGTTTTGAGTTGCTTCTGTTGGTAAAGTCGTATCAGTGGTTTAAGTTTCTTGCCTTTAATTTCACTTTAAAAAGTTTAAATCAGTATTTTTATCCTTGAGGTTTTTCTGTTTTGAGGCGTATTAAATGTTTAATACGTATGATGGTGTACTTTAGTTCCTAACCCGTGATTTGGGTCCCTGTCCTTAGAACTTGGAGCTGAGGAGATGGCTCAGTGGAATAAGTGCTTCCCTGGCAAACTCAAGGGCCTGAGTTCAATCCCCGGTTCCGCAAAAAAAAAAAAAAAAAAAAAAAAAACCTTCAAGTGTATTAGTCTCTTGTGTGGGGAAATACTTCTGGGTCTGAGCTTAAAAGTGTACTACTCACGTTTGCTTTGGGAAATATTTTTGAGTATGCTGTTGTGAAATGGGAGTTGTAAAAACAGGTGATTACAAGTACTTGTTTGTTACTGTGTACGGTGAGAACTCTTCTGTTGCATCGTGTATGTAATTACTAATCCTTTTTCTTCCCTTTTACAGCATAAATAAAGGTTTGAGTTATAAGCTCCTTAGAATCCTTGTATTGCTGTATGTTTCTCAACACCTGTCCGAGTTGTGCTCTTAATGAAGGCAGTTGTGTCTTCTAGGCTTAGGCCTAGATTCATGGCTCACTAGATCCAAAGAATTGAGCCAGTGGTATACCTGGCAACCTTTACTCAAATAGACCTGTTACATCCCGAATGGCCTGCGAACTGCTGGGAGCTGGGAATGTGTAAAATGTGATGCTTAACCAAATGGCTAAAGAAGATGAATGTGTAGGTGGGGAAACACTTTGTCCGTATAATATGCTGGAACATTCCTTGCTTTAATTAATGGGGGGAACAGTTCAAGAGGATGGATGTGTAATTAAAGCATGTTTCATATTTCTAGTCCTTGGTTGTAAGCATATAAATTCTCAGCTTCATTTTCCTTTTGAGGCGTGACTAAAAGTTTGGGCTTCCTTGTACAAGTACTATATTAAGACAAGTGGCAGAGTGTGGGTGGAAGGAACGCACTTGGAATCCAGTGTGCGTCATGCATGGAAATTTTTCTGGGTGGGGGACAGCAGTGATTCATCCTGGGAGCTGATCAGGACTTGCAGTTCTACAGCTCTTCTGTGTCACTGGGGACTCTACTGTGTTTCACAAGAAACTAATTTGGGCTCAGATAGGGAACACTGCCAGCCCCTGCTAAGAAAGGAGGTGCTTATTTGCCAAGGAGTTGGGGGTTTCTGTGGGACAGGGAGATGAGCCCCCCCACACACCTGAAAGGCCAGCATGTGGACAAACCGATGGCAGGGAGTGTGACCTGAAATCTTGCGGTTGGCAGAGGTGTGAGACTGGCTGCAGTCCTACTCTGAGTGGGTCTTGTCTGCTTCCTTGGTCATCCCTTGGTGATCCCTCCTTTGTATATATACTACTGAGAACCTGGCACGAAGTGCTTGGGAAAGGAAGATGGCATGCTTCCCAGCATGCGGGGTACTGGGAATTGAACTTGGGACCTTGCACTTGACAGGCAGGCACTTATGCCACTGAGCTATCCCGGGCCCCTCTTCTTAGTCTTTTCTCATAATGATTATTCTAACCCAGAGGATAACTGCTCTTAAGCATCTTTAAGTGGCATTGTTGCATAGCAAGAGCAGCAGGCTAAAAAGTTACAGGGTAAATGTTTGATATTGGAAATGGTGGTGACATGGTGCTAGGGATGAGGCTGCAGCTGCAGGCTGAGTTCACTTCTTGGTGAGGGTAAAGGACTTACAGTGTTTGTGTTTCTGGGGATTGAACTCAGCACGCTCTTATGCGGAGCTACATCCCCAACCCTTTTTATTTTTAGTAATTCTGGGGATTGAACACTCAGGGCCTTCACATTAAGTTACATCCTCAGCCGTTTTTTATTTTTTAACCTCGAAACAGGGTCTTGTTAAGTTGCCCATGCTGATGTGGCTCTAGGAAGCCTGCTTCGGTTTCCCAAGTACCTAGGATTGCAGACTTGCGCTGCCAAGCCCAGCTACAGACTGGATCCTTACCTGGTCGTCTCTGGATTAGTGTTTTGGGTAGTGTTGGCATTTGCCAGTAATCAGTTTCCATGCACATGCACAAGTCTGAACTTAAGTTTTTCTCCAGATTGTTAGAGACCACGGGATGATCCATTGGAATTCAAGTGGGCTGATAGTGATTCTGTGCAAATTAGAAGTAATGGGGCATTAGAATATCTAAAACTTTTCTAAAAACAAAAAATCTGAAAACAGATACTGAGACTCCCTTGTGTGCCCAGGTTGGAGACACTGAAAACCCAGAAATATCCTGTAAATAGGAGGTCGATAACAACTGCCCTTGGTGCCACCTGTCAGTGTCTGCCCATTAATGGACTGCAGGGACTCCTAGTGCCACATAACCTTTCTGTGTGTAAGACTGGAGAAAATCTTAACCTCTACCCCTGCATGGTACTCAGTGTGTGGTATTGAAAGGAGAAATGTCAAAACAGCTTGGCAGTTGTGTCATGATTTCACATTTAATATGTAAAAATACCCAGGTAAATAGGATATCATGTCTGCATCTTGTACAGCAATTAACCACTAGGAAGAATGTATGCAATGTGTTAATTATTGAAACTGTCCTACCAATTTGATTTGAAAGTGTCTCATTGCTATTTGTTTATCAATAAAATTATGGGAAGAAAAATACCCAGATGCAAACTTGGAGTGGCAAAGGGCAGGTAGAAAAATAACTAAAAATAAGCATGTAATTGGAAACATTCCAAGGACTGTGGCCTTAAACCTTCCTGTGGGTTACGGGTACCCCCTGCACCTCTCATCTGATAGTGACGTGGCTGCCACCTGCTTGAGCCTCCAGCCCTCTGTCCTGCACTACCTTCCCTCTATAATTCTGTAAGTTCTCATGGGTGAAAAGGGTTTATGGTAAAGCTTGCAAAAAGAAAATCAGAAAAAAAAATCCTCAGTAATTTTCCACTAACAAATGTACTGCTGTATCTGCTGGAGGTTTTCCGAAGTCTCACTTAGACACATGGGTTTATAGTTCTCTTAGAATATAATGCTTTGATATGTTTACCACACTTATCTGTGAGATACACGTACATTTCTAGAAGAAAACAACTGTGTCAAATTTCTTAAAACCTTAGGGTCATGGTACTAAACTGCCCTCCAGGAAAGGGTTTTCCAAATTAGTGTTCCCTTTAATGAGGAAAGCCTACTCTTGTTCAGAATGGGTATTTGGGCCTACTGTAGACTGTGGGTATGAGCATGCTTGCCTGTGGTGAAACTGAAGGTTTCTCTTATCTGTTAATGGTGTGTGTGACTTTCTACTCACTGCTTGTTTTTGTTTGTTTGTTTGTTTTTTGCGGAACCGGGGATTGAACTCAGGCCCTTGCACTTGCCAGGCAAGCACTTACTCTACTGAGCTAAATCCCTGGCCCCTGTTTTTCTATTGGTGGTTTTATAAAAGCAATTTACATATTAAGGAGAGTAATAATCCTTTGTTATATTTGATACATACATTTTCTAGTTTGTATATTGTCTCAATTTTCCTTATTATGGTTTAGATGTACAAGAATTATACATAACATTTTCTGAGGTCAATCAAACCACTGTGGTTTGTACATTTGGTGTTATGCTTAGATCCCTGTTGACCCCAATCTGTAAATATTTAATCCATATTTTCGTGTGCACTTGTGTAGTTTTCACATTTAACCTGGACTTCCAACTGGAGTTAATTGTAGAGTATATGTGTGTGGGGGGTGGGTCCCCAGATCTTCCTTTCTGTGAGTAGCAGAGTGGCTTATCAGTGTGAGGCTGCTGTCACAGTGAAACAGCTCACCAAAGGATACCTCAGGGGTGCGGGCAGCCTCCCCAGGGAGATCCTGGTTTGTGGTTCCTCTTTGATTCCCTGGCCCCTCTGATAACTGGCTTGGGCCTGTCATAGTAGACCTGAATTCCAATCCCAACTCTACCGCTTGCCATCTTTGTGACTGCAAGCAAAATATGGATAGTCGCATGGCCCATTTTCCTTGGCTAGAAAACTGATACATGTTTTTGTGCATGGTATTCGGTATTGAGAGTTTTATATGATTCTCCCCCACCTTGTTCTGCTGCTTCTCCTTTGTTATTGCCCAGTATTAGGCTCTGGCATCTCCTGCTTCCAGCTGCCTTGTTCTGGCCTTTTATGCAATGGGAATTAGTGTTTATATTCTAGTCTGTTCTGTTTTCAACTTTAATTTTATGTCCATTATCCATCCTTGTATCAGCGAAGTCCACAAACCTGTGTGGCGTTTTTTTCTCAGGTTTGTTAATCCCTGCGCAGAATGCCTTGAATTGGCTGCTGGAAGTCTGCATGCCCTGAAGTTGAATGTGCACCCTTTTTTTGTGGTATGCGTAGCCTGCCCTGGTTGGTCAAAAGGCCCAGGATCTGAAACAACATCATAAATGATTGCATCATTTTACTCTGTTGTGCTTATCACCAAATAGGTAGTCAATCTCTTCGGTTAATAAACAGTGTTTGGGCTTTTAAATTGGACTACTGTATGCATCTTTCTAAACTCGGTGTACTTGTATAATCTCCACAGCAGTGTTGCCTGGTCAGTAAACCTCTGTGGCTTTATAGCTCTTTTCCCACATCTTGTGAGTTTATAATTTCCTTCTGCAGTTGCCATCCTTATTTTATTTATTGATAATTTAAATTTTTTAGCAGTAAGATACCCAAAGTTTACCATCTTAGCTATCTTTTAAGTGTACTGTTCAGTAGTGTTAAGTGTATTCATGTTGTTGTGCAGCCAATCTCCAAAACATTCTCATCTTGTAAACACAAACTACCACTAAACCCTTCATTCCACCACCACCCCACCACATCTCTCTCCCCCAAGTCCCTGGCAGCCACTACTTTTTATGCTTCCTGTTTCTGAGTTTGACTATTCTAGATATCTGATGGAACTGAAAATACAGGAGAGGGTTGGGGATATACTCAGTGCCACAGCGCCTGCCTCTCAAATATGAGGTCCTGAGTTTGAGCTTTGGTTCAGAAAAAGAAAAAAAAGGTTGCAATTACAGGGTATTTGGTGATTGGATTATTTCGCCTAGTATGATGTTCTTGAGGATCATCTAGATTAGAGAATGTGTTATAGAATTTTCAAAAGAGCTGAGTGGCAGTCCACTTGTGCACAAATCACTTTTGTTGTCTGCTCCTCCTTTGAGTATCGGGGCCGCCTCCACCTATTGGCTATTACAAGTAATGCCACTTTGGACTTGGGTATGCGTGCAGATACCTTAAGACTGCTTTTGATTCTTTTGGATAATGGATATGAAGTAGTAGTTCATTGTGGTTTTTATTTGCATTTTACTGATGATTAGTATTGGAGTGTCTTTTCATATATTTATTGGCCATTTATGCATCTTTGGGAGAAATGTCTCTTCAAGTCCTTTGCACATTTAAAACATTGGGGGTTTTGTTATTGTTGCAAGTGTTTATAGGATTTTGCTTTATATTCTGAAAGTTAAACCCCTTATTAGATACATGATTCGCAA